AAGTGCGAGGTATTTACCGTTTTTATTACCGATTCTTTAGTTCAAATTTCTTTAGTATTTTCTTTATTTCTTTGGCATTTGCCAAAAATTGGCATTGCCAATTTTTTACACTTTCTACACATTTCCTAAAAACTGTCTATGTGTTCCGCTTTGATTCATCACTTTCTAAAGTGTTTTTTCAATTCGCATAAAAATTTTTAGAAAAATTTTTAGGATAATAACAGGATAGTTTGCAAACCACAACGAGTATCTTTATGTCGTCTTTCAACGTCGCTCTATTATTTGGGTTCTTTAAAAAAACCAGATGGAAGCTTTTGGCATAAACATTACATTGAATTCTATTATTGGCTGTAATGAACAATGAACGTAATTTATCACAAAAAAAGAAAGATTGTTAACTTTTTACCTTCAGAATACGATTTTCACTTTTTCGTAAAACTAACGTATATATCTATAGCGAAGGACTAGAAGCTTTAAGATCTTTTTAGGGTGATTTACATAAAGTTTTGCAACAATATCCCTGATGAAAATTGGAGCGTAGATCAGATGTAATGGGAGAGTAACAGAAGCGTAAACGAAACTTCTAGAAGGCGAATATTAAAACATCAAAATATAAAAGAAGCATAAATGCTTCTTTTCGTTGTTCCAATTTTCGCCTTCTAAAAGTTTTATTTACGCTTCTGTTACTCTCCCATTACATTCAACTTACGCTCCGATTTTTATTTTCATCAGGGATGTCATATCGGACAAACTTTTACTGCTTTTGTTTTGCATATAGGTTTACACTTGGTGGCAGTCGAATAATAGGGACAAATATCCCAGCAGTCTCCTGGTAACAGTGACATCAATCCCACCGCCAAAACTCGAGTCAGTGCTTTATCAAAAGCTGCCAATAAACGATCTCCTTGACGAATCACAAAACGACTTGCGGGATCTTTCAAAATGTACGTCGGAGTCGATAGGTCTCCCTAAATGGGCGCGATTAGCAGCTCAATCTTGCAAAATTCCGAATGAGAAGATGTTCGAGACGGAAGTGAGCGAAAAAGGCTGCTTCTACGTCGCCTTCAGCAACGACGGCAAGTATCTGGCTTGCGTCCATTCCGAGGAGTACTATTATTCAATTGTCGTTTACAAGGTGCGTCAATATCATAGATATCGCAAACAAATACCGCGACTAAAGGAGAGGAGAATGAAACAAAAGAGTGAAAAAGATAATTAAAATTTTCTGAGGCAATAAGATCGTAAAATTCAGTTGTTTTTATTTGTGTTCAAATTGTTATCAATTGTGTTGATCATTATTTCGATTTCAGGTCGAAACCGGCAAGATCCATGTTCGATTTCTCGGTCACAAGGCTTTCGTGTACTCTCTAAATTGGTCCAGCGACGATCATTGCCTGTTGTCGGCGTCAGCGGATCAAACGGCACGTATTTGGGACGTTCGCAGTCAAATCGTACAGCACATCGAGGTCATTATTCATATTTATCCACTTAAGATTAATGATGATATTAATTTTTAATTATAAGGTTTTAATTTTGTAAATATCTAAAACTGTGCATTTTATTGGCAACAATAAATGCGTTTTAGCAGATTCGCGTTAATTTTTTCTAATAAGTATTTTTATTGTAATTAAAAAATTTAAATTGTTAGATATTGAGTAAAATTGTTTGAAACATAATCTGCGAGAGATCGTCTTTAAAATGTATTGTTAAAGGAAAATTTGTGTTTAATATAAACGTACATAAAACAAATTTATTGCAGATGCTGCCACATCCTTCGTATGTCTATTGCGCCAAGTACGGGCCCGGCAATGTGACGATCGTGGCGACAGGATGTTACGATCGAGTAGTTCGCATTTGGGTGAACGACAGGAGATCAAGGAAGCGAGAATTGAACCAGGAATTGGAAGGCCACGAGGGTTTCGTCAATTCGATGGTCTTTCAAAAAAACGGTAACTTGATTACCGCCGATAGCGTGGGATTGATAATTCTTTGGACAATTCGCATAGACAGTAAGATATCTAAGAGGACAGGATGTATTTTGAAGAAGATAAAAATTCGCGAGATCGAGGGTGTCGTTATCAACACGATCGTTCTGCATCCCCTGGAGTCTAGACTCCTCGTACATTCGAGAGATAATGGCTTGCGAATGCTGGATCTCGCGACCGGTGTGGTATTGCAAAAGTATAAACGGCTGAACAATCAAAGGCACGTTGGACAAACATTTTTTATACATTTCTAACATTCGCGTTCTCAAACATTGCAATTAACTTTCGTTATATATATCCCATGATATACGAAGACAACGTTTAATAGTATTGGATTCTTTCCTTTTTTTATTACCTTCTTTCTTCCATTTTTCTTAACTTTTTTCTCAATATTTTTTTTCGGTATGTTAATTTCCTTCCTTATTCTATTTTTTTACATCCTTTTTTAAATTTATAGGTCCACTTCACACTTTTTTCTCCATTTTTTATCAACCTCTTTTATGTTACGCCTAGCTTTGTTTCTCCAAATCTCTGTTGCACTTTATATTTGTTTTATCACTACTGCTTCTCGTTCTGTCTCGTACTCGTTCATTTTTTAATTAAACTTTTTTGTTAATTCGATCTATCGTAGTGAGTCTCTTTTCTTTCTTATTTATAGAATACAATTGAAAGCCTGTATATCTCCCTGCGGTGGGTTTGTTATATGCGGTAGCGAGGATTCCGTATTGAATATCTGGAATTTGGAGACAGGTAAACTCGTAGCCAAGTACACGAATAATGAACGTAGTTCGGCTAAGACAATTGTTACCTGTGTGGATTACCATCCCTACGATCACGTCTTGGCATATTCGATATTCGGCAGTCCCACGTCAGTACGTGTTCTGAGATACAATAAAGACGCCAGTGGGAACGACGTTGGATTACATCTTACGGAAGATGCGTCACAAAGTCGAGGTAATGAAGTGATCTTGAATGCCTTGAGCTGCCCTCGACAGAGTAAACCTAACGCAGCAGGCAGGAAGGAAATGCCCTCTTTGCCTGATCATTTAACAGCCGATCACACGATAATACAAATTGAAAATAATGATTATGGGCGACTGTGGACAATGCCGCATTACTCGAGAGAAATGGAGCGAAATTGGAGGAAGAAGAGCTGGGATCGACTTCACAATATTATTGAAAAGATCGACTCAATATTATTCGGGAATTCAATGTTTGAAGACGTCGCCAAACAGAGTTCCAGCGCGAACGAGCGCTGTGGTTCTTGGATCAACAATGCGTCCAACATCGATTTGCAACGAGATATACTTCTCGACGATTGCGCCGTGAACTCCATAAGATCCCATGATGGTAACAATACGCAGTCTAGCTCCACGATTGTATCCAAGAATTCGAATCATTCGTCTGATTTTCGCAATTCGGCAGTTGCGTTAAAAAAAACAGATACGTCGTTGCACATAAGCTCCCCGGACAGCACTGGTACTTATATCGTGGAAATGTCGAACTTCAATAAAAATGTTGTTACAGCTGAGGAGAAAGATTCCGTCCAAACGATTGGGAGCGATAGTTCACGGATTAGTAATGTTACATTCCTCATAGAGAATGAGCGAGCATAAGTGATATAATTTCTTACACCGATCCTTTTTTCAGCTTAATTTTCTTATATTTGGTCCCGTTAACATGATGATAGTGTTCTATCTTACATTTTATTTATGTATAAAAAAAATAAAATGCATGTGGAAAAAATTATACATAAACTTTATTTTATATGCTGTAACTTTAGTTGCAGATCAATAGAAAAATAAAAATATATTCATTACAAATAAATCTTGTGAGAATTTCTAATGACACACTTACAATATGGCAAAAAAGGTAATACAATTCAGGTCAAATCACGTATCAGAAGCGATTAATCATGTAATATTCAACGTACATGTATGTGTGTGTGTGTGTGTGTGTATGTGTGTGTGTATTTTATATATAAATATACATATATAGAAATTATACATGTATAGATGTAATTTCTTTATTTATAGATATGGAATGCTGTTACTTAGTTAATTAATATATTATACACAGCCAATCTTTTGTCATTAGACAATCATACTGTTCTGTTTAATATATATCATAAATTAACTTTGCAAAATTAAACGACAAAAAATTAAAGGGGATATAATATAACGTTGTTAAAGAATACTCGACATAAAATTAATGTCTTCAAGAAATACAACAAAATTATAATAAAACTTCTTTGTAAATAAACTGCACTTTGTTACAAGTTCAACGGTTTACAATTACATATCTGCTCATGCGTGACAACAAAAACTTGATTCATAACGGTAAATGTTAAGAAAAACTATTGTAACACACGCGTATAAATTGTATACAAGCCTTTACATGAAAACGAATAATTTCCTCGAAAAATTTTATTTATATGTGTGTTATCTCTTTTGCTCATATCTTTTGATACTTACAGAAAAAAGAAAATTTTTAAATAACAAAACTAACAAATCTTATTAAGACTTAAAATAATCATTGTTATTCCTTTTTGTAACGCCTATGTGCGTATCAATGCGTAACCGTGACGGAAAAAAATAAAACTTTACAGGTAACTCATGGAAGTGTTCCTGTCCGATTTTGATGAGCTTCGAATGTTGTTTTCTAGACAAAAATATAGGACACATTTTTTTTTACATCCAATTGATAAAAGGCGCACTTTTAAAGTGCACTCCTTTGAAGAAAATTGGTTACTATCTTTCAAAGCGAATTGAAATTATAACAGACAGAAAAAAGTTTGAAATAAAAGTTGAATAGTTCTAAGAATACTTAATCATAATATATAATTTAAAAAAGACTAAAATTGATATTTATTTAAATAAATTTTTCTTTAACTATTATAAAGTATTTTTGAAACCATTCAACTTTTCTTCAGAACATATTTTTCTATCTATACAGTTTCAACGATATTCGTTTCGAAAAAAATTCGATTTTCTTCAAAAGGATATTGCACTCCCTGAACGTGCGATTGGGTCTTTAGAAAAAAAATACGTGTTATTTTTTTTTAGAACACAACATAATCAAAGTTCATCAAAATCGAAAGGGAATATTTCCATGAATTTCCTTGTTAAAAACATTCCTTGCGTCGTTTTTTCATGACCAGTTGGTACATATATAAGCGATCCATTATCACGGCGTCATAGGATAACAATACTCATAAAGAAAAAATAGATATTTCTAATTGTCGACTGATATAATCAACTAAGAAGGAAGACCTTCAACTCCTTCGATGTATTTGGCACGCTTTTCTTCTACTAATAACTTATCAATGTATACGTCTTTTTCAGTGCTAGTGTCAATCAGTTTTAAACCCAACATGGTACCATTGACTGGCGAGAGACTGTCAATTACCGATTCCACGATTACAGAGACGAAGTTCTTATCAAGCACTAAATCCTTAAATTTGACGCAGTCGGTCACCGTCCAGTCAACATTTAAAGGCTCTATTCCTAATCAATGTTAAAAGTTATTGTTAGAATTCCTTGCAAGTGATATATAAAAAAAAAGAGTTTAAGTTGCAGTTGTAAAAGAAGCCTTTTTCTTACCAACGAGTTTAGCCTTTACTGCCTGATATGGTAATTTTAAGAATTTACTCATCAACGGCTGCAAATTGCTGATAGATATTATCGTCACGTCGCCATAGTCACAGAGATATACTGATACATTTCTTTTTTATATTGCGAAGTGATGTGCATACCTATACCAATCATCTTGGAGTTTGCCTGCATAGAGTTTGCTTTCACTCACAGACTCAAAAGGCGGATTATTGTTTGTATCGTAGTAATTTCGTAAGTCCATCATCATTTCCTGGAAAAATAAAAAAGTCCAGAATATATTTAATTAATTAATTGAACATATTTGACGTACACTTAAAAAATTCCTATTAATTTTTACGTACTCTTAACTGATTAGCATTGTTCAACGGTTGCACGATAAAGTGTCCTGGATGCGCAACTAATGTTACGTGGACATCAAAATACTGACCGATGTCTGAAATTTTAGGTGGATTCAATTTGCCGACGATCTCGGGAGCGCGAGTATTTTTGCGATCCAATCGTTTCTTGGACTTATTATTATTATTATTATTGCTATCTTCGTTGATTCTACACATACATAGAAACTCGTTTAATAAAATTTATAAAGCTAGTACACAATTATAAAAGCACAAAGTTATATAAATAAATATATATACATAAATATATAGCAAAAATAAAAAGAAAATAAAATATATAGACATAGAGCATGCATATAGGGATAGTATAGCTCATAAAAGAACTGGCAAATTGTTTACTTCGATAGTTCGCCGGCATAAAGCAGTGATGTATTTATCGAAGCCAACATGTTACTCGGTCCAAGTCTTTTGAAAATCTCTACCACTGGAACTCCAGAATTGCTGATCCTAATGACTCTCGCTACAAGCATATCTGTGTCCGAAACTAATTCTTGGAATCTTGCCACGAATCTCTTGTTGTACATTGACTGATCGATATTGTGTAAAAAGATTTGCATTGCCTGATTTTTTACACACAAATATATAAATATTAGTTTTATCTTTACAAAAAATTAAAGAAACATTAAATTCAATGTTGATGAAAAAAATAATTTTCTCATACTTGCGGAGGGATGTACTGTAGAGCCTTTGATGTTCTGTCTATGTGAAATAGATTTGCTCTCGGTATCAAAACAATTTTACCAACGTCAATCAGAAATACCACTACTTCTTGCTCGGCAGGAATGTCAGTCACTCTTGCCCTATACCATTGCGAATTCCACTCCACAAGGTATGTTTTCGTAAAGTTAATCGCATTCACCGTCGTATTGTTTGTAGCAAATTGAAACATATTTTCATTACTCAATATATTTTTGGTAAACGAGTTTAACTGCGTATAAACTTTACCATATTCGTCTATATGCGTGACGTTTAATTCGATTAATTGTCCTACCTGTGAAAAACAGCCGATATATGTAAGAAAGCAAAAAAGGATCGCAATAATAGAAAATCATAATAATAAATCGAAAGACAATTACACGCATTTTAAACGTAACAGCCATGACCTCCAAAATTTTGTCAATTAGGATTTGGTTCATATCAATATCTTCGTCTCCTTTGTTGGTGTCGTAAAAAGTTACCGTTACATATGAACCATATTCATCGCTATCCATACCATGTACTTCCACATAAAGCAATTGATCGACTAAAAGATGATTTTCGATCTCAGTTACCATCTGGGCGCAATCGCGGAACTCTTTTAATCCTTGAAGACCTACTCTTATAGCCTATATAAGATAGAAACATACATGAGATCAAATCAGATTAATATAAAGTTCATACTCGTTTGCAATGTAGATTAACTTCAACCTCGGTTCAATTTACTTGTCACTTTTTTCCAATTTCTAGAATTAGAAAAAGATGGAGTGTAAGTTGAATCTAGATTAAAGTCAATCTACAATGATAGAAATAAGAACCAAATAGTTGAGTTACTTGAAATGGAAGAATGTTGAATCTTTTGTCCAAAGGATGCAGAAGGCCAGATTTATATTGCTCCACGTATCCCTGATCGATAAAGAATACTGTGGCGATTCCGGTTTCATTGTCATAATCTGTGCACTCAACTCGATGCCAATAACTTTCCTCGAGTACGGCATAGAAATCGCCGGGTACGCATGCCACGGACGAGATAGGTTTATTTATTTTATCATAATAACTTGTCATTTCATTTGTCATATCAACAAATTCGTTCTACAAAACAAGAAGTGTTAGCCCGTCGAAAAAAAATGAATGGATAAACGATACATTCGGATACTTACATTGTCATCGCCTAGGCGAACCCAAATTTCAACGGTGTTTACAACATAAGTTACACATACTTGCCAAATATGTGCTTCAGGTACTGGCAATATACTGGGCGTGGCGGGTCCAATCGGATTCAATTGTATTTTCTTGTTAGTCAGAAGAATATTCTCAGGAATATTCTTGGATGCGGAATTACTGTCCAATCGCTAAATAAAAAAAAAACTGCTTATTTCAATGTTCTGGAAACAACTATAATATACAATGCACATTTGTATTACTTTCAAAGTTGGGGAAGTTAGGCAAAGTATCGTGGAATCCCCAACACCTTTCTCTTGATTTATATCCACGCATTTTTCAATAATTGTTTGCCAATTGTGGGGCAGAGCCTCCCCATATTGTTCGTTGTAATATTCGGGTAATAGATGCATGAAGACCCCACTATGATGCGTGGTTATAATTTTTAAAATGCGTTTTTTAATTAATTCTGCATCGGCAGTCGTGACCTCGGAGCTCGTCGATTCCTTAGCAAGATGTCCCAGAGCTAAACGTGCTGCAATTTTCTCGGCTTCCTCTTCAGTCGCTGCGTCCTCTGGATATGTGTGGAATGTATGTGAACCAACCTACAAGATTCATTGATCAATAAACACAATTAATTAAATAAATAAATATAAATATAGACTCTCAATATTAAACAATAAAAATAATAAAGGTTCAGTATTTTGTTTTTGTCGAAATAAAATTAAGATAACCATGAACATCTGAGGACTATCTCTTAGCACCTACAACAGCGCATGACTCTCATCAGCCTTATCTGAACCTTGATTATTTTTATTGTTCATTGATCAATGTAGAAAACTATATCTTTCAATAATATTTAAATATATACAATTGATATATTTACTTTCACGCTGGCATAGATGGTGACTTTGACAGAATGTTTCTCTTTCTTTGAATACATTTTATAAATTGGTAGTGGCAAGTTTAACATGTTAGCACGAATCTCCAACTCTTTCCGAGAATCAAGAGCCTCCAATAGCGGTGCAACCGCCTTTTCATACTGAAAATATCACGTGATAAAAATTGAATATCAAGCATCAAATGCTTGAAACAAATGCTTGAAACAAATGCTTCGAAGCATTCGTAGCATTGGCTGCGTTCGGGCAGCGCGTTATCAACGCTATTTGTGTCATATTATCCTTATTTCACGTTTAATAGATGACGAAGATAGAATGACACAAATAGCGCTAATAGCGTCTCTCCGAACCCAGTCTAAGTGAACCGTAGCCTTGATCTGTGACCAATTTTGACGCAAAAAATGAGCATCGAGTGTTAGCATGAAAAGGCATCTTAAAAGTAATAAATTTTCACGAAAGAAATTTGCGAGTATAGTGCTCGTATAGTTCAATCGAGGCCAGAATTTGGATCTAGAAAAATTGTTTTTCGTTTTGTTCTCTTACCTCTTCATCCTTCAAAATTGCAAGTAATAAAACATAAATAAAAAATTAATTTAAAAAAAAAAAAAAACCAATTATTTTAGAAAAAACAAACTAATCATTATGGAAATATTGTGTATATATATATATATATATATATATAATACATATTTCATTTTTAAATTATATTTCATACAGTAATGTCTTAGTACATAAACCATAGTGCTACTCTTACCTGTGGAACATTAACAATGGATGGAATAGGCATAGATGTATAACCATTGTTGTAGTTGCTGATTGGTGGTAAAGGTGTTTTAGGAAGAGTAATTTTGAGCCTGTCACTTAGTTTTGGGGGTTTCGTTTCTACAGTCTTTGGTTTTTGATTTATCACAGACGAAGCTGTATTGTCATTTAATACTTTGAATCTTACATCTTCGATACAATTATCACTTTGGTTTACAGTCGATAAACTTGGAATTGTCACTTTATCTGTCAGTCTCTGAAAGTATTACCGTGATTAATAATGACGCAGATTTATCAACAGTTAAAAATTACTTCAAACTTTTGTAATTTAAACTTGCACTCACTTTGGGAAATGTGGATACTGGAGAATTGCATATACTTGATGGTGGTGTAGTCGGTGTGAAACTTGATTTCGTGTTATTGAGCGGATACGGACACTGTACTATAGTTTCCATAAGAGGTACAGGTCTAAAAGATTATTGCAAATATATATAATTGTTTATATCTTATGCGATATATATTATTTTCAATTGATTAATCGATCTCTCAAATTGGTACTTGTAATTAAATCATTTAAAAGTTAAAAAATTTGTAATTAAATCAGGAACATATCAAAGCCATATCAAGTGCTTAAATAAATAAAAATAAATCATTACTTATCGGTACTTATTATAGACGATTCTTTTTACTTTAATAAACAATTCTTAGATCAAGTTTGAATATTATAAATACCTGGTAAAATCTGTATACGAGTTACTCTTGTCAGGTGTTGAGCTAGTAAAGTAATTTGAAGAAGAAATATAATTACTTCTAGCAGGGTAAAAACCACTGTTCAGATTATGACTTCTAGAACCAGAAAAATTTCTAGAACTAGACGAAAAACCTTTCACATGTCGGGGTGGAGTCCACTGAAAAAGATTCTATAATTAATCACAGCAAATATACAAATTGAACTGCTCGAGTTTCAACATTAAGGTAAGTAAAGTAATAAACAAACTGACACAACGTATACTATAAGATGATCAGTATATGTATGTGTGCGTGACAGTTACTTTCTAGGAAATATGAAGTATTAATAAATTACTTTTTTTGGTGGTCGTATTTTTCTCTTCGTACTCTTCTGTCGTGAAACTAATTTCGTAAGATGCGCGGATGTTTTCGAAGGTAATGCTTCCACAAACAGTTCTCCATTTTTTTTGGTCACTGTAACATCTGGTACGTTGCGTATAAAAGCTTCGACAGAGGAATATCCGAGTTGTTTAAAAGGTAATAGTTCTCCTGTTATCACTCGATAGTCCGCTACAAAACAAAAATCGAGAATTACTACATCGATTAATAGCGTATAAGCGGAATACAAAAATATTAGCAGATTGTATCAAAGCTCAAATAACTATGTTTACAAATGCTTCGCAGAGCAAAAACTGATAATATTTACTCCTTAAATTCTCTAGTTTGATACCACCCTTGCATGATATCAGACATGATCGCAACTTCTTTATCACTTCCTCTTGATCCATTGTGATTCTCTCTCATAAAAGAGAGATCACAAGTAGACGTAGTTATATCTGTTATTCCGACTGATGATCTACAACAGATTTTAATAAATGTTAGGGTATATAATTAAATTATACATTAAATGTATGAATCTCTGTATAACATTCTTAAAAAATTTCTAGAGGCAACAAAAAATAAAATTCCAGAAAAATATGCAACAATCCAAGTAACAAATAAATATACTTGTAGCATAAATAAAAGCAAAAGGACACATGTTCACAGTGGTTAATTTTTTATGGTTAAAACTTAGGTAATAACTTATTGTAGAAAGCCCATTAAGCTCAAGTAATAGCTTATTGTAGAAAGTTTATAAGATACATTTTGTCTAGGTCCACAACCTTACTTTAAGAAGCCCTAAGCTGTAAAAAATTAACTAATCACACTCGATTATTTTTCTCGTATTCAACTGTATTTAGTCAATTTCTTAAGGCTTTACGGCTTATGGCCTTTTAAAACAAACTTGTAAACTTAGACTTTGTTAGATTTGGATTTTACAATATTTGGATATATCAGTAAGCAATTACAGTTAATCTTTGTCAACACATACTCTTCAAAGTAAAACATAAATGTAAATAAATCTTATTTTAAATAAAAATTTAATGAAAATAAACCGGCAGGTACTATTCACGGAAATCATCTAGTTATCATTGGTAAACCAACAAGATAAAAAAATGCATCATACACTGAAAACAATGATGTTATATCAACAGCATTATTTTAATTAAAAATAATCTTGTTGATTCTTTTTTCCAATAATAGTATTAATGAAACAAATAAAATTTTATAAAAACAAAAGCATGATATATTTGTTTTATTAATAGTATTATTGTGTATAAATTAACAAAATTATTTTAAATAAAAATAGTGCTGATAGCATATTTTTTTCAGTGTATGCATTCGTAATATATGTAATTAGCTGTTGTTAAGGTATTTTAATTTTATTCACATTTTACTTATATGTTCTATAATAACTGCATAACATGACAAAAAAGCAATATTTAGAAAAAATATTAATAATCAAAATGCTTATCCTATATAATGTAATTCATATATCATTTATGTCATTTCTATATTATTCCTTCTTAAAAACTCTTTACAATCATTTTCTCTTTACAGATAAGGGGAGGTGGAAGGAAAACCACAAGAGAACAAATAGTATTCTATTTATTCTCTTGTGGTTTTCTATTTCTGAAGTACTCCATTTCTGAATAATTAGCATCATTCCATCAAATCAGTCCCAAGATTGTTCTTTACGCACCTCACCTTCCCTAATTATTTATCATTTGTCAATACTACCTTCTATTGTCTACGAAACACGCCAGACATTTAATGTCTAATTAAATAACTCATAAATACCCTTCACCTACTTTTAGCTCAAAGTCTGAAAGTCAGCGGAAACGCGCAGCTAAAAACAAACTCAACGAACTGCACTCTGCGTTTATATACCTGCAACGTTCGTGTATCATCAAAACATGAAACTCGCTTGAATGAACAGTGGTTCGGTACAGAGACACGATCGAATCGACGGCAAATAAACAAATACGACCTCTTAGGCGAGGAGAGACGTCTCCACGTCTCGTGTACTGCCATATGCCGCGATTGGAGGCGACTCGCGGAAATCGAGATTGGGAAACGAGTAAAACGGTATCGTTTATCCTGCAACGGCAAGTCGGCCACGACACCATGAGGAACCAGGCGACTATTAGAACGGGGTCATTAGCGCGGGGGAAGGTGGGGAGTGATTAATATACCTTCTCTCTTTAGAACACTGAGATTTCGTTCCCCGTCGCCGTCGCCAAATTTATAAAAAGTTGAAATGAAAGAGGCTGGCCGGAATCGTCGTCAGTCTGCGGCGGGTGCCATTAATTCCTCCGAAGAAGAATAAGAAGCCGCCGCCGCCGCCAACACCGCCGCTGTCGTATGCTGGACGACGACGAACTCGGATTATCTCGATCACCCGCCACCCGTTCTCTGAAGTGTTCGTTTGAGATAAATCTGAGGCAGGTTGAAACCTAACCGGACACGCTTTTTCCCGATGTTATTGACGCTCGTTTCTCGATGATTTCACGATCAAACAAACCTCGAACCACAGAGACGTGCCAAACACGACTGGTTGGACTGGCGTAATTGTCGACGTTTCACGAGAGGCGCGCAATCGTGTCTATATGCTGTATATCTCTTTCGTTTTCACTCTTTCGCTCCGATCTCGCTCGCCTGCTCACTCTCAGTTCTCCCGCGCAACGGTCAGCAACAACCACAACAGCCGATTCGCTCGCTACATTCGCCGAAGTGGGTCGTGACGCGTCCGCCAATCACGTGCCCGCTTTCCCGAAAATACGGGAGGGTAATTAAAAGAAAAAAAAAAGACCGAGGAATTCGAGGTATGCGGTATGCATCTCCCGCACGGTCACAGCCCTTTGAAATAGGAGTGAAAATTGATACGTGTTTCTCCGGTTTCCCGCCCTTTTCCAACGAGAATTTTTCAGAGTTTACGCTCGACAATAAACGCATGCATGGTTGATCCAATCCTCGATAAATCAAAATAAAAAAAATATCTAAAGCTGATTTTTCACGCGCAGCACGCTGCAGTAGCAAATTAAATGTCACATGATTCAAATTTTCGAGAATTAATTGGAAATGTCATCTCACGAAAAATTCTTAACCCATAATAGCATTTTCGATCACCATTCGACCATCACGTGCTGCGCAGTTAGCTTTACATATAGAAATATGGTAGGAAACGTAAATTTTGTTTCTCTTTCCAACTCTTGAAGAAATTTCGGGTGGAAGAATATTGGGGAGGGGATATCAAATGCATTAAATTTATTATTTTATGTTCGTGTATCTAAATTCTGTTAAAATAAATATCTTTGAAGTTAATTGCAAAATATATTATTCTATTTTCTCTCCTTTTAAGAGAGGCTTAATTCCAAAACAGATCAACTTTAATCTCGGTTCAATTTATTCTCCATTTTTTTTTCTAATTCTTAGAAATAGAGTTGAACCAAAATTAAAATTAAACTTGCATTAATAGAAACGGCATAATTCTTACTAAAAATTAAATAAAGTAAGCTGTAAGTTAAACCGAGATTAAAGTTAATCTTGCCATCGGGATAAAAGCACAGTCGTGCATAACGAATAATGCATAAGAAAATGAAGCGATCAAAGTCCTTAATTTCTTCCTTTCCGTGAAATAAAAGACTAAGTGGTTGGCTTTCTTATGCCTAAAGGTGTTTCTCCATAACAATCGAACTTTCGAAAAACGGAATCTCGCAAAAATCATACAATCAATCGGAATCGTTTAATTTAGCACGTTATACAAACGAATGATTAAATTTTAATCTCGGTTTAACTTGTTAACATTTTTTTACTCTTAAGAACAAGAAAAGTATACAAAATACGTTAAGCTGAAATTGAAATTAATCTACATTGACAGAAATGGACGTAACTAAGACAATTTATTTATCTGAAGTAAACGAGGAGCAAAAGTGACAATATAAATCAAATAAGAAGCTTAAAATATGGTCGAGGCTAGATCTTGTCACTTCACAATATTTTTATGTATATTTTTAAATATATCTTTCAATTATATAAACTGTTTGATAGTAATCGACACGAAGTTTATACAACTGAAAATTGTATTTAAAAATTTACATAGAAATATTATAATATAAGTATTACGACCTAGCTTTTACCGCATTGACGCTTCTTTAGTTATTTAACTTATTCATACAACAATCTCCAAACTTATTGTTAATGCAATAAAATACGTCAATATGTGAAGATCAAACTTCAAGGCTAAAAACGCTATCTGCCTTGTTATCTCCCAAGTGTTCTTTTACAGCTGCAATGAATTCTATGAATGTAACGTGATCAGTAACCCTTATCTATCTTCCGATAAACTGTAACGAACGCGAGTGACCAAAGCACATTTATTCACAATTCATGTCAAGAGTTACTCGCGGTAGTGTCTTGACAAGCGTATTGTATCTATATTTACAGTACAACCAACATCTTTTATATATAGATAAGATATATTAGTTATACTGTAAAAAAAAAATATATATATATATATATGGAAGTACATTTTATTGATTCTACATCTTGTATGAAAATCTATAATATGCGTAACGTATACGACAATATTTTCATATGCGATATTAGGGAGTTTTTGTAATACCGTTTATCCAAATACGGTGAACGCTAAGGTCAGGTTATCTTCTTCTTAACAACTACTTAAAAAAAGGATAACGTGACTCTAGCGTTCAGCGTATCTGGATTCACATTATTGCAAAAACTCCCCATTCTTCGAGAATAAGGCCTCTGTCTGCTTAATCCACTACGTAAATATTTTATCTAACAATTTTTTCGATTCTCTCAGATGAATTCATTCGTTTCGAACAGGAAATACAAGATGGGAAAAATATAAAAATACATTCAGCAGATGTAACAATTGTAGACAGCGTTAGGCAACAATTGCTGTTACATATAATAACAGATCTAATTAACTAACAGATCAAATTCAATTAACTTAAAAAAAAAATCATTCAATTGTCACGTCTACTGAACGTTGATCATATGTATATCTTGAAAGAAAAAAATTTATTTATCATAAAATTTTAGGATTGGAAATCTTTTCACATTTCACCTTTTTCAATAAACAAATGCTAGGCGAATGGTTATTCCCACTGATTCTAAGTATCTGACGATACGCCGAATACGAATAGGTTTCTTTTCCTAAAATTTTACATCGTGAAAAGAGCATACATTCCTATATCTTTCCGAGCGACAGTCATTCCGATGTCGCCGGTTACGTCCTTGAAAATAAATCCATTACATAATCATACTTAAATTAATCGGGTTAATTCAGAAAAATAAAAACAAATGAAGGGATAACACTGTATTCATCCAATCAAATTCAAATCAATCAAAATTTCTTCTCACGAATTATAAATAAAAATTATCGATGTGACGCTTATTCTTTTTTCGGCGCGACCGCTTGCTTGGCCTGATGGGCTTGTAATACA